GGTTGGGGAGAGGGAGAGGGAGATGGGGTTGGGGAGAGGGAGAGAGATTGGTTGCCTCCTGTATGCTCTCCAACAGGGGATTGAACCTAAAACCTAGGCATGTGCCCTGACTGTACATTGAACCCACAAGCATTTTGTTGTATGGGGCAACACTCCAACCAACTGAGCCACCCGGCCAAGGCATGATCTGCACTTTTTTTGAGGGCCCGCCATATGCCGGGCACCATGCTAAACATTTTACATTTGTTATTTCATTTGATCTTCCCAATATCCCTAAGAGTTAAAGTATTATTATTCCCATTTTACAGCTGAGAAAACTGAGACTCAGAGGTTATATAACTTGTACAAGGTTACACAGCTAAAAATCATCATTGCTAGGGTGTGAATTCCAACCCTTTGTTTCTTCAAGTCACTACATGGCCACAGGAGGGGGTAGACAGAGGAAGATCTCTTTATTCCCTAGGCCTCTCCTTCAACTGCCATTCTCAGTAACTCTTCATCATTTCTAGATATTTCCTATGGAAGAAAATCAAGATGTTGAATTACATGTTTTTAAAAACTAGGAGCCCCAGAAATCTGTTTTTCTCAAAGAGGAAAAGAATTCTAGCTCTAGATTTAAAAACTAACATAAACTATAGGATCTACAGTAAGGGCAAAAGAAACATACATTTCTGAAGATGATCCATTCACTGTGGCAGTACTGCAAGGTGCCGCCTAACTCAGGGGTTAATTGCTTGTCATCAATGTATGTCAGCAAATCACTAACTGAGCTCAGCATAACCACCTATATAAATAAGCAAGAAAGATACTGTTAACTGCCCTTCATGGCATCCCTCTATTCAACTGTACAATGAACTTTAGCATTCACTTAGCAGAAATTTATCTTTTATAAATGGCTCTAACAATTCTCTCCCATACATCCACCCACACACGTAATGCACTACCTTCTTCAGGTAATAAGAGTCTTCATTTACAAAACATTTCTCTGTAAAGCAAAATTAATCTCCATAGAAACCCAAACACTTGATTCTCCTTGATTTAAAATTTTGCACTGTTAATGCTCAACCTTCTGAAAGGATGTTATGCCTTCCACAAAGTAAAAGGGCTTTATGTAGTCAGTTATAATTTATCAGGAGAGACTGATCTTTGCAAAAGTATCAAAATTTATGAGCACTCTATTCCTAGCCCTAAAAATGTATAAAAGTATCTTTTAAAAAAACAAAAACATGATACTTTGAACTAGCTCAGGATGTAAGTTCATGGGAGTTCAAATACACAAAACACATACTCATTATTTTCTGAAATGAAATGTCTTGATTTTATACATGCATGCACACATAGAGGGTGAGGCAAACATAGGTTTACAATTGTTTGTATGAAAAATAATACAATAATTAATAAATAATGGTCCACGAATAAACTCTTTTTCATGTACTCACAACTGTAAACCTACTTTTGCCCCACCCTATATATATAGCATATGTGGCATATATCTTTTGTAAAAGTAATTGCTTCATTAAAAATTGATTAATCTATTTCTTTAACAGTAGAAGACTTTTAGTCATTTTAAATTTGCATTTTTGGAAGACAAATTATATTTTTTTCTTTTAAATTCTTTGTGAGCACAAATAAAACACGAACAGCACGGTGCAACGTCTTCATGAGAATATAAGGGACAAAACACTTCAAAAATATACTATTACCGGGAGTTTGAGCATGAAATCTTCCTGACTAAATCGAAATCCTATGTCTGTGAAAGTTCGTTGAAGAAAACTGGTTGGGCGTAGAACCAATACCAAGTGTAAGTTCCCAGGGAAGGAAATCTGTAGAAAGAACACAGGAAAGAAAAAATTGTCACAACATGCACTCAGCTGAACACGTATCATAGAGTTGTAATGAAAGGAAACAAATTTTAAAGTCATAAAAGCCACTAAAAGGACAAACTTTAAAAATGGATATTGATAAAATCTAAAAACCTGAAAATAAAAGCAAAACCAATGTGAGGTCATTAGGTCACATCTTTGCAATGCTTGTGTCATGGAATTTTCTCACACTAAAGTAAGCCCCAAGTTACGAAGAATTAATCTCTTAACCTTCATTTTAAAGTTAGTTATTTATACTCAAATTGCATTTATTCCCTGTAAAACAGAATTAGGAGGCAGGTTCCTAGGATAGCCCTAAAAGTCAAAGGAAACTAAAATACTATATACTTGTAGTAAACCTAGAAGAAAAGTATATTAAGAACTCAAATTTTAATTTTCATCCAAGCAACATTCACTGAATATTTTCTGTTTCCACTCCATGTATTTAAATAAATAATTATCAGGCACTGTTAACATTCCATGTACACAAATTAGTCCCTACCCTTCTTGCAAGAAAATGACAGTCTAATAGTGGAGCCCATTAATAATCATTAGCTCTATAGCATAAGTTGATAAATGGAACGAGGAAATTAGAATAATATACAACAGGAAGTGGTAGCACCAAGCATCCTAGACCTAGGAATGTCAAGAAAGATTTCAAAGCATAGGGAAGAATTAATTCAAACACGAGAATGTCATTCTGGTGCACCAGTTTCCCCAGTTTGTAAAATACTGGTGCATAGTAGGTGATCAAGAAATAATTGCTAAATGAAAGAATGCAAAAGACTAGGGAACTATGCAAAATTAGTAAGGGATGGGCTAGTATAGAACAATAATAATAAAATACCATATATCAAATGCTTAATCTATGCCAAGTATTTTTGCCAACATTATCATAGTTCCTCTTCAAAATAATCCATTGAAGTAGTTAGGCAATCCTCTTTTACAAATAAAGAAAAGTGAGGTTTGGAAAGTTTAAGTATAACTTGACCCAGGTAGTGAAGTCTTCATTTGCACCAGAGTCTGTGTTTTTAATCACTATACTACCCCGCTTCTTCAAGAGGTTCCAATCAGGGAAGCTAGAGGAAAATGATGCTGGGGAGCAGCAATGAGATAGTGCTAAAAAGATGGGCAGGAGGCAATTCAAGAAAGACCTAGGGTTTTCCCCTGGAAGCAAGGAAAGACTCTAAGAAGTTTTAAGCAGCAGAATAACATGATCAGTTTGCATTTTAGGAGAATCATTCTGGCTTTGGGACTGGAGTTGAACAAGACTGAAAGCAGGTGAGCTAGAAAATCAGTCTCCAGATTTCGGGCTTGAGTAACTAGGTGAATAGTACAACCCTCACTGAGGTAAGGAACACAAGAAAAGCAGGCTTTAAGGAGGTGGTAAGGTACTGGTTTCCATTCCTGGACATGCTAGCTTGGAAGGGTGAGCAGGACACCCAGATGATGTCCACTAACAAATTTATGTACAAGGAAGGAGGGAAAGAAGTGCAGACTGGGAATGCAGAGTTGGGAGTCAGCCTCAAAACAGCAGATTAAAGCATAATAAAGCAAAATATGTCAAGAATGTTTAAAATACACTAATATTTCAGGCATGTTGAAATATTAGTAATTAAATAAAGTTATAAAACAAAAATTAAGATATTGTGGGGCAGACTTAATTGGAAATCTGTACTTTCTGCTCAATTTGTTGTGAACCCAAACTTGCTCTAAAATAAATAAATAAATAAATAAATAAATAAATAAATAAATAAATAATAAATAATTTTCACTGAGGTATAAGACCTAAACTCTTAGGGAAATGACATTTTCAATGGGGAATTTTAGCCTGGCTGGCATGGCTCAGTGGTTGAGTATCAACCTATGATCCAGGTTTCAATTCCTGGTCAGGGCACATGCCCGGGTTTGGGGCTTGATCTCCAGTAGGGGGCGTGCAGGAAGCAGTCGATCAATGACCCTCTCTCATCATTGATGTTTCTATGTCTCCCTCTCCCTTCCTCTCTCTGAAATCAATAAAAACATTTTAAAAAAATAAATGAGGGCTTTTAAAAATTCTATTTGAAACAGTGATAAAAACTATTAAAAGGCACTGATAACTAGAGGGAAAGAGAACAGAGTGTCATACAATTAGGTAAAAGAGCACACAGTTAAATCAATAAATTAGACAATGATAATAAATGGACACAAATTGAGATGGCTTTCCAACTCCTAAATCCTTCAGGTAGCAATGTTTCTGCTACCTTCTCCCTTCATGAGAAACTTCTTCCTTTCTGCTATACACTGAATAGTTTGTCTCCCCCAAATTCGCATGTTGAAACAAGCCCCAATGTGATGATATTTGGAGGTGGGACCTTTTGGAGGTGATTAGGGCATGAGGTTGGAACCCTCATGAATGGGATTAGTACTCATAAAAGGGACCCCCAAAGATATCCCTCACACCTTCTGCCATGTGGGGTCACAGAGAAAAGATGACCTTCTATGAAACAGATGTGGGCTGTCACTAGACACTGAATCTGCCAGCACCTTGATCTATACTTCCAGCCTCTAAACTGTGAGAAATAAATTTCTGTTTAAAAGCTACCCAGTCTATGGTATTCCGTTATAGCACCATAAACCAACTAGGAAAGCCTGTTATTATTCTCAATATTAGTTCAAAATAAAAACTGTTACCTTTCAACATGACCTTGCCCTTCTAATACACAATAATTAGTAGTGGGATGAAAATTTGATGTAAGCAGGACCAAAGTCCTGCCCTAGGATTTTTCAAATTAGTGCTGAGGGAAGGAAACTGAGGGCACAATTCCAGAGCTACTGGTAGTCATGACCCCTGCTGCTGGAGAAAGCCTATTTCAAAGATCAAAGCCAACTTTTATAGAGCAACAGTAGAGACAAAGAGTTCTGATGATAAGGTACATTATAAACTATTATGTACACAATGTATATTTTATTTTATGCCAAGCATGGTACATATTTCCCACAATTATTGTAAGAATTAAAAGAAATAGGGAATATAAAGGTACTTTTTAAATTCTAAAAAAAATAATAAGATAATTTACTTTGGACTCTTAGACCTAAGGAGAAGCAGGTTTAGGTAGAAATATACCAGAATATGGATAAAGTCTTGCTTAAGGAGAGACTGACAAGGGATTTATGAGAACTGCAGTCCTATTTTTAGGTTGAGAACACTGATTCTATTTCTATCCCATTCACTTCAGGAGTTAAGCCTTTCATAGGTAAATTACTAGTATTATTATTATATTTACCTGCTTTGATCCAGCTTATTTTTTCACTTTTCAATGGAATTGAAAGCACCCTACTTTTGCCAAAACTTAAAGCAAAATTACTTTTATTCTTTCATGGATTCTAGGTTGATGTGGTCTCATCTTCTCTTTGACTTTCCTTAATATCACATTTTCTGGTATTGACTAGGAAATCTATGGATGCAAGACCCTAGGGATGACCAACTTAAAACATGAAATACCCTCCTCCAAAATTGGGGTGGAGGGTACTATGGGAACAGAGAAAGCCATGTGGCAAGCCTCTACCTGAGGTAGGGCCCTGGTCTCTACCCTGCCATTCCTAAGAGAACAAGGCTGTTACAGTGGTCAGGTCCAGGGACAGCTGATCACACAGCAGGGGACAAAGTACGCAGAAGAGAATAGTAGAACCACTGTCCACAGAACCCACAGGGAAGAGTTTCAGCAGAGTTTGGAATTATTCAGCTGCTCCAAAGTCAGGGTTTAATGTTAGCTATTTATTAAATCAGTTATTGTCGCTATTTGATAAACTAGTTTATCAACAGGAGGAATTTGGGGCAGCATAGCAAAGATGGTACAAGGATCAGGTTGAAGGTAAAGAGTCTAGACATGAAACCTAAAGAAAAGGTAACAAATTTGAATGCCTACCATGTGTTAGGATAATGTAAATGCATGAAGTAGGCAGGGTTTAATTAAAACACAGCTTGAGCAAGGTGGAAAATGGTGATTCACACTCTTCCTAGATGGTGAAGGAAATAGGAAAGCATTGTGGAAGGGGAACACACTACTCAGTTCCAGATAAATATAATGTGGGAAGGTGGACCCAGATTGCCAAATGTTTTTATTTCTAAAAGAAGCCAGAAATCCAGAGGTTTCTCTGTGAAATTTCAAGATTTTAAAAGACGGGAAACAAATTGGAAGTTTGTTAAAACACTTTAGCAAACACAAAATACTATATGGTCTAAACAAAACACATCTATGGACTACTAGTTTATAAATGCTAAACTAAAACTTCATATACCTGAACGTGAGCCAATATCAATAATATGTACACTTTTCTGTCTGATTGCTGGCTATGAGAATCTGGAGGGAAGAGGGAACAGGGAACTCTTGGGGAAATTTTAACCTGAAAGGCCATGTAGATTCAAGATGTGTTTGCAGATGGGAATAGAGAGACAGTGCTTTTCCTATATATACTGATATTTACATAAGGTAAATGTTTCATGATAATCCATTTTAAAACTAGTATTCAAGTGAGCAATCAAATAGCATATGACATAACAGAGACAGTATCAGATGCATGCATATATATCTCACAGCAAATACATCTCAAGACCATTGAGCTTTCCCATTTTGGTTTGGAGAAACTACGTTCCTAAATTCTTGGGTATGCTGCTTTAAGGCTCTCTAATCTGTATGGTTATATAAACATGAAAAGGTACAATTTCTATTTTCTCCAAAATCAAACCCTGGATTTTAAAACCATAAATCATTTTTGAGAACTTGTCAAAAAAGCAAAAAGATGTGGGTAAGTATTAGCCTTATTTTACTTTGTCATTATTTCTTAAAAAA